TTTCTTAGTAATTTGGTTAAGGGAAAAGATATCATCAAAAAGTTTTTGATAAACCTTCGATAATAACCTACGAGACCCAAGAAACTTTAAACTTCAGACACATTCTTCAGAATCTCCCAATCTAACACAACTTTAACTTTTTGAGGATCTACTTGTATGCCCTCAGTAAAAACCACGTGTCCAAGAATGTCACTTCAGATAACCAAAACTCACACTTAGAGAACTTTGCATAAAGTTTCTTATCTTTCAAATTTTATAGAATCACATGAAAATGAACATCATGCTCCTCCCTTGACTTTCAATACACTAATATGTCACTAATAAAGACGACCTTAAACTGATCAAGGTAAGGTTGAAAAATTCTATTCATCAAATCCATGAACGCTGCAGGCACATTAGTTAACCCGAATGTCATTACTATAAATTTGTAATGATCATACCGAGTCCTAAACGCTATTTTAGGAATATCTTTCTCTTGGATCTTCAACTGATGATACCCTGAATGTAAATCGATCTTTGAAAACACTGTAGCTCCTTTGAGTTGATCAAATAAATCGTCAATCCTTGGAAGATGATACTTATTCTTTATGGTCACTTTATTAAGTTGTCGATAATCTATACAAAGGCTCATCGAACCATATTTCTTCTTTACGAATGATATTGGAGCACCCCAAGGTGACACACTAGGTCTAATGAATCCTTTATCTAAAAGTTTCTACAACTGAGCCTTTAACTCTTTCAATTCCTTTGGAGCCATTCTATAAGGAGCCATTAAAATCGGTGCTGATTCAAACATCACTTCAATCTAAAACTCAACCTCCCTATCTGGAGGTAACCCGGGTAACTTGTCCGAAAATACTTCTGGAAACACTTTAACTGTAGGAATATCTTCAATCTTCTTTTCTTTGACTCTTTTATCAACTATATTAGAAATATACGTTTGGCATCCTTGCAACATTAACTTTCGGGCTGACGTCAATGATATTATATTAGCTAAAGGATTAATTCTTTCATTGACCATACTAACCTCTACCCCATCAAGACTTGTTAATTGAACTCGCTTTACTCTACAATCCACATTAGCATAATAATGATAAATCTAATCATACCAAGAATAACCTCAAATTCATCAAAGGGTAATTCTATTAGATTAGCAAGGAATTCAATTACCTGAATCCATATGGAACACCATCGACAGACTTGTCTCACCCGAGCACTATTTCCCAAATGATTCGTCACAATCATCTCACTACGAATAGACTCTAAAAGGAAGGCTCAAATCTTTAATCAATTTACTACTAATATAAGATTAATTTGATCCCGGATTAATCAAAACTAAAACAAATTTTCCAGCTATATGAAAAGTACCCGCAATGATTTCTGAATAATCACAATCTTCACTGGTCTTCAAGTTGTAAACTCGAATGGTAGAGTGCACTTAAGGTTGAGCGGTTGACTCAGATTGATTCCTTCATCTTCCTCGACTTTTTTCTCTCATTGGTGCAGCTGTAGATCTCTCTGTTTGAGCAGTCTCTCCCGTCATCATTGGGCAGTCTCAAATAAAATACCCTGCCTCTATACACTTAAAGCAAGCTCCGAAGACTCTTCTGCAGACTTCATTATGGTTCTTTCCACAGTGCTGACATTGTTTCGGCTTGTCCAATCCAGATTCCACCGAATAAGCTTGTCTTACCATTCCCAGATTTATCCTCTACCGGAGGATGCTGCGGATTTTGCTCTGGTATGAAGTCGAGAACTTGAACCTATACTCTTATTTGATTGCGAAGAACCAGACGACACACCAGATATTTTATTCCATTGCGTTCTTTGCTCCATAAATCTTTCATTCTGAGCTTGGTCCAAAGCTTTAGCTCGGTTCACTACCTCTTGGAAGGAAGAGAGGTTAAGTGCCAACAACAATTCTTTCAATCGGGGTCGTAAACCCTCCACAAACCCTCCACAAACCAATCACAGGAGTCATTCTCTATAGGAACTAGCTTGGCAATAAATCTACTCAACTTGTTGAATTCGCACTCAAACTCATACATCGTACGATTCCCTTGCTTTAAATTCATAAACTCTTACTTCATCTACCAGATGAACTAATCTCCTATATATTTGTTCTTAAACTCCTCCAGAAAGAAGGCCAAGTCATCTGATCCCTTGAAGCTCTCATCGACACATTCGACCACCAAATTCTAGCTTGACCCCATAATAATGAAACTACACCATCCAATTTCTCCATTTCAGAATAATGGAGATTCTCAAGCATAACATTCAAGTCATTGAGCTACATATCGGCGGCAACCGAATATTTTTCAGTTTCTCCCCTAAATTCAGGCACTCTTATACTTCTCAACTCTTTAAGGACATTCATCTTAGGGCATGAGGAGGCAGATGGTTGGAAATGCATCAGGATCACATCCAAACTCTGGAAGAAAGTCCCCTGATCTTATACAGGCACTCCAGGCTGTGTTAGCTCCTCACCCTGCCTGCTCGGGGCAGAGGAGTTACTACTCTCCTTCATTCTATCTCCTGCATCACTTTGGGAGCCTTAAAAGTTTGACATCTATTAAGATCAATTTACTAAATGAATTAGTATGGATAACATATTAATCACCTTATTAGATCAGAAAGACTTTATTAAAAATCGGCATGCACACTTTTTAAAATAAAAAACAACTTTATTTCAAACTTAAAACCACTTAAACCATGGCTCTGATACCATTAAATGTAACACCCCTGACCCGAATACGAATCCGAGGTGTCACATTTGACTTTTCAAAACATATGAAATTCACAATTAGAAACAAAATTAAAATTTTGTATCAAAATACAAAATATGAACTTATTTAATAAAATAATCATTTAACATACATTTTTTTACATACAATCTTAATAAATTACATAAATATCAAAATGTATGAGTTTACAAAATAGATCATAGCATTTCCAAATTAAACGCTTAATACATGCCAATTCTTTACAAAATTAACACAAAACCTACATTTAATTTGTCTTGATCTGATCTTACAGTGATATGCTATCTTCCACAACTCAGCCGTCTGATTTCTTCAAGCCTACGCGTGAAAATCACACGCTAAGTCAATGACTTAGTGAGGCAATAAAAATACTGCTAACTTAGTAAACATAATCTTATTTGTTTTTATTCAAAATGTTATACAAAGAACTTTCATTATTTTGCATATCAAAAGTATACTTATGAATAGTTTCCCTTTGTATGTCTTTGTTCCAAATGCCCAAGTTATACTAATGGGAACTCTAGGTATTTGAGTACTATAAGGTTGTGCACTAATGTTGTTACCACAGCTCCTAATTTGCACCGAAGTGGCACATAATTGTCCCGAAAGACCACATAGGTTTACACTGAAGTGCCATATATTTGTCCCAAAGAACCACATAAAACCCTCGACTCTTGACATGCCAACTATACCTCTAATCCTCATACATATACTTTGGGCTATTAATCACATAATTATATTCAATCATTATTCGAAGTGTTTCTTATTCACATAGTTTCTCTCTCGTAGAGTCTGCTCACATTCACTTGTTCATAGTTTATATTTTCATAGTCATATAATCATAAAACATAGCTTGTATAATATAACTTGAATAAAACATTGAAAGACAACATAAAAAAATTATAATGTTTCCGATCGAAAATATTAAAGTTGGCTTATCGCAAGCCTTCCTCAATTTTATTACAAAACTGGGAAGTTGCACTCACATTTGCATCACGGAAGTCTAATCCAAATCTTTAACCCTTTCGAATCGATAATTTATATACCGAGCTGACCGGAAGTCGATTATGATTAATCACTACACAAAACAATCAAAAATCAATACTGTTCTTCAACTCATTATATTGAATCAGACTAACTTGGGATGTAAGAAACTCTTACTATCCATTTCATGCCTAGAAGTATCGGTACTATCCCTCCAGTACTGATACTTCTCTTCAAGGGTATCGATACCTCCTCAAGGTACCGATACCAATATGGAATTCGATGTTTGTATGGTATCGATACCATCGTTCGGTATCAATACTACCCTTACAATATCGATACCTCTACAACAGGTATCGATACTTACCTTAATAATTTCATAGATTTTTCCCTTAAAATATCGGTATTGTTCTAGCGGTACCAATACTCGAAGCCCATAATGTCCATTTTCACTTCGAATATTACCCAAAAACCTCTCATATACATCATACCTTAAGCCTTTGAACTCACCCTTATACTTTCAAACCAACTTGTACCCAATTACTACTCCCAAACATATAAAATTTCACTAAAACACCTATATCTAAAAATCATACCATGTTACTAACCAAGCTCTTATGAATTTCTAACACTCCTAAACTTTTAATTAGCCTGTTACCAAGTCAAATATCTTATTAAAAATTCAAAAAATTACTCTATATCAAAATTTCATTTCAAAACTCATTTTACAAAATCCTTTCAATTTTACTCATCTTGTTGATTTAATCCTATATAAGCTTTACTTAAGCTTATATAACACCCCTACTTCCACTACCAAACCAAAACTTAAAGGAAACAATAAAAATTCAAATTCTTACCTTGTGGATGAAGCTCACGTAGAAGAAGAAGAGATGAGAAAATGGTTACAACTTTACTTTTCTTTCATCCTAAACCTCACGTGTACATCTCCCTTAAAAAGGGAAGATAAAATCCCTATTGGAAAATACCATATTGCCCTCTTCACTAAACCAAAATTTCCATTTAGCCCTACACATAAATTCCACTATAAATCCTTGTGTTTAATTATTTATTCTAATTAAAACACTGAGTTTAAAAGTTCTTACATTTTGGTCACTAACCCGATGATTGGTATGTTACAAATCTCCCCCTTAAGAAAATTTGTCCTTGAATTTTCATTGCACAAAAAAGGTGGGGATATTGCTTCCTCATGTCCTCTTCATGCTCCCACGTAGCTTCTTCTACTTTATGGTTTCTCTAAAGGACTTTAACTAGTGGAATCATTTTATTCTGCAACTGCTTATTTTCAAAAGCTAAAATTTGAACTGGATCCTCATCATATGTCAAATTAGAATGAATTTCCATTTCATCTGGAGTTATGATGTGTGCAGGATTTGATCTATATCGCCTAAGCATAGACATATGAAATACATTGTGAATCTTTTCCATCTCTGGTGGTAACGCTAACTGATATGCCACATGCCCAAATTTCTTCAAAACTTCATAAGGTCCAATGAACCTAGGACTCAGCTTTCCTTTACGCCCAAAGCGAAGTACTTTCTTCCAAGGTGATACTTTCAAAAGCACTCTATTACCTACCTGAAATTCAATTTCTTTTCTTTTTTAATCGGCGTATGATTTTTGTCTGTCTGAGGCCACCTTCAAATTGTGTTGAATCACTTGAACCTTTTCTTCTACTTCTTTAATCAAGTCTGGACCATGCACTTCCCGATCCCTTAACTCGTACCAATTGAGTGGCGTTTTGCACTTCCTTCTCAATAGTTTCTGATAGAGTATAATGAGCAAATTCAACAAGCGACAAATATTTTTCCCACGATCTAGTAAAATCAATCACGCATGCTCGTAGCATATCTTGCAGAATCTGAATTTTTCGCTCTAATTGACCATCAGTCTGAGGATTAAAAGATGTGCTAAAATTTAATCGGGTACCTAAAGCTTCTTGCAAGGACTTCTAAAATCTTGGGAACTCTATCAGAAACTATTGAGATTGGAACACCATGAAGTCGCACTATCTCCTTGACATACAATTCAACATATTTCTCCATAGAAAAATCTATTCGCACAAGGATGAAATGTGTAGACTTTGTAAGGTGATCCACAATTACCCAAATCGAATCCTTTTTACCCGACGATGAAGGCAAACCAATTACGAAATCCATCGTAATGTTTTCCCATTTCCATTGAGAAATTGGGATGTGTTGCAACAAACCTGAAGGCACCTGATGATCAGCTTTTACTTGTTAACAATTTAGGCACTTTGATACAAATTATGTAATATCTCTCTTCATGCATGGCCACCAAAAACACTCTTTCAAATCTTGATACATCTTGTTTCCTACTGGATTTATCGTTAAAAGACTATAATGAGCTTTATAAAAAATATCTCGTTTCAGCTCGAAATCATTAGGAACACACACACACTTTTTAAAGTATAAACACCCATTTGACTTAACCTCGAAGTCATTAAGTCCACCTATCTCTACTTGCTCGAACCAATTTAAACATTTATCATCTTTCTTTTGCAACTCCTTAATCCGCTCTAACAAAAATGGCTTCAACATTAACTCAGCCATCAATGCATCATTTTCCTTTAGCACTATTCGAGCGTCCAAACTACGTAAAGTGGTAAAAGTCTTTCGACTAAGAGCATCCGCTACAATGTTGGCTTTCGCGGGATAGTAGTCAATGATTGCATCATAATCCTTTAGCAATTCCATCCATCTTCTTTGCGTCAAATTTAACTATTTTTATTTCAACAAGTACTTTAAACTCCTATGATCGGTGAAGATGTAGCAATGTTCACCATACAAATAATGCATTCAAAATTTCAATACAATGACCACAGTTGGTAACTCCAGATCACACGTCAGATAATTCTTTTCATGAGGCGTTAACTGTCTCGAAGCACAAGCAATTGCCTTCCCAACTTGCATTAAAACGCAACCCAAACCATTATGGGAATTATCGCTAAAAATTGTGAACTCTTTGCTTGATTTAGGTTGCACCAACACCGGAGCTTCTGTCAGAACTTTCTTCAGAGTTTCAAAGCTCTTCTAGCATTTAGGAGTCCATTCAAAATGTACATCCTTTCTTAACAATTTGGTTAAGGGCAAAGATATGATCGAAAAGTTTTTTACAAACCTTCGATAATAACCTACGAGACCCAAGAAACTTCAAACTTCAGAGACATTATTCGGAATCTCCCAATCTAAAACAACTTTAACTTTTTGAGGATCTACTCGAATGCCCTAAGCAAAAACCACGTGTCCAAGAAATACAACTTCTAATAACCAAAACTCACACTTAGAGAACTTTGAATAAAGTTTCTTATGTTTCAACTTTTGTAGAATCACACGAAAATGAACATCATGCTCCTCCCTTGAATTTGAATACACTAATATGTCATTAATAGAGACGACCATAAACTGATCAAGGTAAGGTTAAAAAATTCTATTCATCAAATCCATAAATGTTGCAGGCGCATTAGTTAAACCAAATGTCATTACTACAAATTTTTAGTGATCATATCGAGTCTTTAACGCCGTTTTAGGAACATCTTTTTCTTAGATCTTCAACTGATGATACTCTGAACATAAATCGATCTTTGAAAACACTGCAACTCCTTTGAGTTGATCAAATAAATCGTCAATCCTTGGAAGAGGATACTTATTCTTTATGGTCACTTTCTTAAGCTGTCGATAATCTATACAAAGGCTCATCGAACAATATTTCTTCTTTACGAATAATACTGGAGCACCCCAAGGTGACACACTAGGTCTAATGAATCCTTTATCTAAAAGTTCCTGCAACTGAGCCTTTAACTCTTTCAATTCCTTTGGGGTCATTCTATAAGGAGCCATTGAAATCAACGTTGATTCAAACATCACTTCAATCTGAAACTCAACCTCCATATCTGGAGGTAACCCGGGTAACTCATCTAAAAATACTTCTGAAAACTCTCTGACTGTAGGAATATCTTCAAACTTCTTTTCTTTGACACTTTTATCAACTATATTAGAAATATACACTTTGCGTCCTTGCAACATTAACTTTCGGGCTGACGTCAATGATATTACATTAGCTAAAGGATTAATTCTTTCACTGACCATACTAACCTCTACCCCATCAAGACTTGTTACTTGAACTCGCTTCACTCTACAATTCACATTAGCATAATAATGATAAATCTAATCCATACCAAGAATAACCTCAAATTCATCAAAGGCAAATTCCATTAGATTAACTGAGAATTCAATTCCCTGAATCCATATGGAACACCATCGACAGACTTGTCTCACCCGAGCCTTATTTCCAAAAGGATTCCTCACAATCATCTCACTACGAATAGGCTCTAAAGGAAGACTCAAATCTCTAACCAATTTACTACTGATATAAGAATAATTTGATCCCGGATTAATCAAAACTAAAACAAATTTTCCAGCTATATGAAAAGTACCCGCAATGATTTCTGAATCATCACTGGTCTTCAAGTTGTAAACTCGAGCGGTAGAATGTACTTCAGGTTGAGCGGTCGACTCAGATTGATTCATTCATCTTCCTTGACTTTTTACTCTCATTGGTTCAGCTGTAGATCTCTCTATTTGAACAGGCTCTCCCGTCATCATTGGGTAGTCTCAAATAAAATGCCGTGCCTCTATACACTTAAAGCAAGCTCCGGAGACTCTTCTGCAGACTCCATTATGGTTCTTTCCGCAGTGCTGACATTGTTTCGGCTTGTCCAATCCAGATTCCACCGAATAAGCTTGTCTTACCCTTCCAAGATTTGATCCACTACTAGAGGATGATGCAGATTATGCTCTGGTCTGAAGTCGAGAACTTGAACCTATACTCTTCTTTGATTGCGAAGAACCAGACATCACACCAGATCTTTTATTCCATTGCGTTCTTTGCTCCACAAATCTTTCATTCTGAGCTCGCTCCAAAGCTTTAGCTCGGTTCACTACCTCTTGGAAGGAAGAGAGGTTAAGTGCTAATAAAAACTCTTTCAATCGGGGTCGCAAACCCTCCACAAACCAATCATAGGAGTCATTCTCTATAGGAACTAGCTTGGCAATAAATCTACTCAACTTGTTGAATTCGCACTCAAAATCATACATCGTGCGATTCCCTTGCTTTAAATTCATAAACTCTTGCTTCATCTGCTGGATGAATTAATCTCCTATATATTTGTTCTTAAACTCCTCCAGAAAGAAGGCCAAGTCATCTGATCCCATGAAGCTCTCATCGTCACATTCGACCACCAAATTCTAGCATGACCCCATAATAATGAAACTACATCATCCAATTTCTCCATTTCAGAATAATAAAGATTCTCAAGCATAACCTTCAAGTCATTGAGCCACATATCGGCGACAACCGGATATTTTTCAGTTTCTCCCCTAAATTCAGGCACTCTTATACTTCTCAACTCTTTAGGGACATTAATCTCAGGGGCTGAGGAGGTAGATGGTTGAAAATGCATCAGGATCAATCCAAAGTCTGGAATAAAGTCCCCTGATCTTGTACAGGCACTCCAGGCTGTGTTAGTTCCTCACCCTGCCTGCTCGGGGCAGAGGAGTTACTACTCTCCTTCATTCTATCTCTCGCATCACTTTGGGAGCCTTACAAGTTTGACATCTATTAAGATCAATTTACTAAATGAATTAGTATGGATAACATATTAATCACCTTATTAGATCAGAAAGACTTTATTAAAAATCGGCATGCACACTTTTTAAAATAAAAAACAACTTTATTTCGAACTTAAAACCACTTAAACCATGGCTCTGATACCATTAAATGTAACACCCCTGACCCGTACCTGATCCGAATACGAATCTGAGGTGTCACATTTGACTTTTCAAAACATATGAAATTCACAATTAGAAACAAAATTAAAATTTTGTATCAAAATACAAAATATAAACTTCTTTAATAAAATAATCATTTAACATACATTTTTTTCATACAATCTTAATAATTTACATAAATATAAAAATGTATGAGTTTACAAAATAGATCAGAGCATTTCCAAATTAAACGCTTAATACATGCCAATTTTTACAAAATTAACACAAAACCTACATTTAATTTGTCTTGATCTGATCTTCCAGTGATATGCTATCTTCCAAAACTCAGCCGTCTGATTTCTTCAAGCCTACGCGTGAAAATCACACGCTAAGTCAATGACTTAGTGAGGCAATAAAAATAGTGCTAACTTAGTAAACATAATCTTATTTGTTTTTATTCAAAATGTTTTAAAAAGAACTTTCATTATTTTGCATATCAAAAGTATACTTATGAATAGTTTCCCTTTATATGTCTTTGTTCCAAATGCCCAAGTTATACTAATGAGAACTCTAGGTATTTAAGTACTATAAGGTTGTGCACTAATGCTGTTACCACAGCTCCTAATTTGCACCGAAGTGGCACATAATTGTCCCAAAAGACCACATAGGTTTACACTGAAGTGCCATATATTTGTCCCGAAGGACCACATAAAACCCTCGACTCTTGGCATGCCAACTATACCTCTAATCCTCATACATATACTTTGGGCTATTAATCACATAATTTTATTCAATCATTATTCGAAGTGTTTCTTATTCACATAGTTTCTCTCTCGTAGAGTCTGTTCATATTCACTTGTTCACAGTTCATATTTTCATAGTCATATAATCATAAAACATAGCTTGTATAATATAACTTGAATAAAACATTGAAAGACAACATAAAAAAATTATAATGTTTCCGATCGAAAATATTGAAGTTGGCTTATCGGAAGCCTTCCTCAATTTTATTGCAAAACCGGGAAGTTGCACTCACATTTGCCTCACGGAAGTCTAATCCAAATCTTTAACCCTTTCGAATCGATAATTTATATGCTGAGCTGACCGGAAGTCGATTATGATTAATCACTACACAAAACAATCAAAAATCAATACTGTTCTTCAAATCTATTATATTGAATCAGACTAACTTGGGATGTAAGAAACTCTTACTATTCATTTCATGCCTAGAAGTATCGGTACTATCCCTCCAGTACTGATACTTCTCTTCAAGGGTATCGATACCTCCTCAAGGTACCGATACTAATCTGGCATTCGATGTTTGCATGGTATCGATACCATCCTTCGGTATCGATACTACCCTTACAATATCGATACCTCTGCATAGGTATCGATACTTACCTTAATAATTTCATAGATTTTTCCCTTAAAATATCGGTACTGATATAGCGGTACCAATACTCGAAGCCCAGAATGTCCATTTTCACTTCGAAAATTACCCAAAAACCTCCTAAATCTCTCATATACACCATACCTTAAGCCTTTGAACGCACCCTTATACTTTCAAACCAACTTGTACCCAATTACTACTCCCAAACATATAAATTTCACTAAAACACTTATATCTAAAAATCATACCATGTTACCAACCAAGCTCTTATGAATTTCTAACACTCCTAAACTTTTAATTAGCCTGTTACCAAGTCAAATATCATATTAAAAATTCAAAAACTACTCTATATAAAAAATTCATTTCAAAACCCATTTTACAAAATCCTTTCAATTTCACTCATCTTGTTGATTTAATCCTATATAAGCTTTACTTAAGCTTATATAACACCCCTACTTCCACTACCAAACCAAAACTTAAAGGAAACAATAAAAATTCAGATTCTTACCTTGTGGATAAAGCTCACATAGAAGAAGAAGAGATGAGAAAATGGTTACAACTTCACTTTTCTTTCATCCTAAACCTCACATGTATATCTCCCTTAAAAAGGGAAGATAAAATCCCTATTGGAAAATACCATATTGCCCTCTTCACTAAACAAAAATTTCCATTAAGCCCTACACATAAATTCCACTATAAATCCTTGTGTTTAATTATTTATTCTAATTAAAACACTGAGTTTAAAAGCTCTTACATTTTGGTCACTAACCTGATGATTGGTATGTTACAAATCTCCCCCTTAAGAAAATATTTCCTCGAATTTTCATTGCACAAAAAGGTGGGGATATAGCTTCCTCATATCCTCTTCACGCTCCCACGTAGCTTCTTTTACTTTATGGTTTCTCTAAAGGACTTTAACTAGTGGAATCGTTTTATTCCGCAACTGCTTATTTTCAAAAGCTAAAATCTGAACTGGCTCCTCATCATATGTCAAATCAGAATGAATTTCCATTTCATCTGGAGTTATGATGTGTGTAGGATCTGATCTATATCGCCTAAGCTTAGACACATGAAATACATTGTGAATCTTTTCCATCTCTGGTGGTAACGCTAACTGATACGCCACATGCCCAAATTTCTTCAAAACTTCATAAGGTCCAATGAACCTTTGACTCAGCTTTCCTTTACGCCCAAAGCGAAGCACTTTCTTCCAAGGTGATACTTTCAAAAGCACTCTATCACCTACCTGAAATTCAATTTCTTTTCTTTTTTAATCGGCGTATGATTTTTGTCTGTCTGAGGCCACCTTCAAATTGTGTTGAATCACTTAAACCTTTTCTTCTACTTCTTTAATCAAGTCTGGACCATGCACTTCCCGATTCCTTAACTCGTATCAATTGAGTGGCGTTTTACACTTCCTTCTCAATAGTTTCTGATAGAGATTTATGAGCAAATTCAACAAGCGACAAATATTTTTCCCACGATCTAGTAAAATCAATCACGCATGCTCGTAGCATATCTTGCAGAATCTGAATTTTTCGCTCTAATTAACCATCAGTCTGAGGATTAAAAGCAGTGCTAAAATTTAATCGGGTACCTAAAGCTTCTTGCAAAGACTTTTAAAATCTTGGGAACTCTATCAGAAACTATTGAGATTGGAACACCATGAAGTCGCACTATCTCCTTGACATACAATTCAACATATTTCTCCATAGAAAAATCTATTCGCACAAGGATGAAATATGTAGACTTTGTAAGGTGATCCACAATTACCCAAATCGAATCCTTTTTACCCGACGATGAAGGCAAACCCGTTACGAAATCCATCGTAATGTTTTCCCATTTCCATTGAGAAATTGAGATGGGTTGCAACAAACCTGAAGGAACCTGATGTTCAGCTTTTACTTGTTGACAATTTAGGCACTTTGATACAAATTCTGTAATATCTCTCTTCATACATGGCCACCAAAAACACTCTTTCAAATCTTGATACATCTTGTTTCCTACTGGATGTATAGTTAAAGGACTATAATGAGCTTCATAAAAAATATCTCGTTTCAGCTCGAAATCATTAGGAACACACACACACTTGTTAAAGTATAAACACCCATTTGACTTAACCTCGAAGTCATTAAGTCCACCTATCTCTACTTGCTCGAACCAATTTAAACACTTATCATCTTTCTTTTGCAACTCCTTAATTCGCTCTAACAATAATGGCTTCAACATTAACTCAGCCATCAATGCATCATTTTCCTTTAGCACTATTCGAGCGTCCAAACTACGTAAAGTGGTAAAAGTCTTTCGACTAAGAGCATCCGCTACAACGTTGGCTTTCGCGGGATAGTAGTCAATGATTGCATCATAATCA